CTGTTGCTTCTACCACTATTACTACTACTGCTGCTACTGCTGCTTATACCACTATTACTACTACTGCTGCTACTATTGCTTCTACCACTATTACTACTGCTACTGCTACTGTTGCTTCTACCACTATTACTACTACTGCTGCTACTGTTGCATCTACCACTATTACTACTACTACTGCTACTGTTGCTTCTACCACTATTACTACTACTGCTACTGTTGCTTCTACCACTGTTACTACTACTACTACTGCTACTGTTGCTTCTGCCACTATTACTACTTCTGCTGCTACTGTTGCTTCTACTACTGTTACTACTACTGCTGCTACTGTTGTTTCTACTACTATTTCTACTACTTACTGTTTTTACTACTGTTACTATTCTATGATTGTCTTCTACACTTTACTACTAGCTGCTACTGTTGCTTCTACCACTGTACTACTACTGTTGCTACTGTTGCTTCTACTACTATTACTACTGTTGCTTCACCATTACTACTGGTCTATTTGCTTCTACTAACTATTACTACTACTGTTGCTACTGTTGCTTCTACCACTATTACTACGTGCTGCTACTGTTGTTCTTCACTTTACTACTACTGTGAATGTTGCTTTCCACTATTTCTACTGTGCTACTGTTTTTCTACTACTATTACTACTGCTGCTGCTACTGTTGCTTCTACCACTGTTACTACTACTGCTGCTACTGTTGCTTCTACCACTATTACTACTACTGCTGCTACTGTTGCTTCTACCACTATTACTACTGCTGCTGCTACTGTTGCTTCTACCACTATTACTACTACTGCTGCTACTGTTGCTTCTACCACTATTACTACTACTGCTGCTACTGTTGCTTCTACTACTATTCCTACTACTGCTGCTACTGTTGATTCTACTACTATTACTACTACTACTGCTACTGTTGCTTCTGCCACTATTACTACTACTGCTGCTAGTGTCGCTTCTACTACTGTTATTACTACTACTACTGCTACTGTTGCTTCTGCCACTATTACTACTACTGCTGCTACTGTTGCTTCAACTACTATTCCTACTACTGCTGCTACTGTTGCTTCTACTACTATTATTACTACTACTACTGCTACTGTTGCTTCTACTACTATTCCTACTACTGCTGCTACTGTTGCCTTTACCACTATTACTACTACTGCTGCTAATGTTGCTTCTACCACTATTATTACTACTATTGCTACTGTTTCTTCTACCACTATTACTACTTCTGCTGCTACTGTTGCTTCTACCACTGTTACAACTACTGCTACTGTTGCTTCTACCACTCTTACTACTACTGCTACTGTTGCTTCTACCACTGTTACTACTACTGCTACTGTTGCTTCTACTAACTACTATTACTGCTACTGCTGCTACTGTTGCTTCTACTACTATTACTACTACTGCTGCTACTGTTGCTTCTACCACTATTACTACTGCTGCTCCTACTGTTGCTTCTACCACTATTACTACTACTGCTGCTAATGTTGCTTCTACCACTATTACTACTACTGCTGCTACTGTTTCTTCTACCACTATTACTACTACTGCTGCTACTGTTGCTTCTACCACTATTGCTATACTGCTGCTACTGTTGCTTCTACCACTTTTACTACTGCTGCTACTGTTGCTTCTACCACTATTACTACTACTGCTGCTACTGTTGCTTCTACCACTATTACTACTACTGCTGCTACTGTTGCTTCTACCACTATTACTACTACTGCTGCTACTGTTGCATCTACCACTATTACTACTACTACTGCTACTGTTGCTTCTACCACTGTTACTACTACTGCTGCACTGTTGCTTCTACCACTATTACTACTACCTGCTACTGTTGCTTCTCCACTATTACTACTACTACTCTACTGTTGCTTCTACACTATTACTACTCTGCTGCTACTGTTGCTTCTGCTACTATTACTAACGCACTGTGCTTACTACGTTTTACTATTCTACTGCTAATGTTGCTATCTGCTACATTACTACCCGACTGCTACTGTTTGCTTCTACCACTATTACTACTACTGTGCTAGCTGTTGCTTCTACCACTATTACTACTCTGTACTGTTGCATTCTACCACTATTACTACTGCTACTGCTACTGTTGCTTCTATCATATTACTTATCGTGCTACTGTTGCTCTCACACCCAACTGCTACTGTTGCTTCTCTAACCTATTACTACTACTGCTACTGTTGCTTCTACTACTGTTATTACTATTTCTACTGCTACTGTTGCTTCTGCTACTATTACTACTGCTGCTGCTACTGTTGCTTCTACCACTATTACTACTACTGTTGTTCTACACTATTACTGTACTGTTGCTTCATCTATTACTACTACTGCTACTGTTGCTTCTACTACTTTACTACTACTGTTACTACTGCTACTATTACTAATCTATAAATCCTAGTGTTTGTTATGGATCAATAACTACAATGTTTTAGAATATTAAACTTTGGGTACGAGGTAAAATAATTCTGTCACAATAATATCCACTTATTACACTATTGGAGAGCTAACCGATCGGTTATGCAGGCTAGAATTGGGAGGTAATCATGTCTATCATGGAAGAGAGACCGCGCATTACCACCAAGTTTGATAAATTTGGTGAAAATCTCTCTCGTTTGCAGTTCATTAGCAATATATTAAATTTCAGGCACTGCTGCTCATAATTCAAAATAAAGACGAATGTTCGTCATCTTGGTCACAAACTCACACGAAATAATAAACCTGAATATATCTATTTCATCGTCAGAATTATTACCCAGATCTTCAGGTCAATGACCCTGAGCTCCAGTGTAATGTCTCGAAAAATTAAAACGTTGAATGTGAAGATTTTTGTCAATATTATCAAACGAGTCGGAATTCAGTCATTGAAGATTTTAATAAAGCGTTAAATTGAAAGTTAGACTTGAAGGCTGGAAGTGACGATGGAATAATGATCTATCCTTACGCTCCTTAAAGGTGTGCAACTCTAACCTAAAATTAACAGGATGTGTTTCTGTCGCTGCGTGGTCCATGTATCTCCCATATCCAATAACCTGAGCCCATTCCCCTGCATCTCAAGGCAAGCAAAATGCCTAGCAGTAGTACCTCAAGAGTCTCTAGAAGCAGAGGAGCTGCAGCTCCTTCAAGCGATCTAGGAGCTATAGCTCAAGAGGGACACTACATGGAGCCCTATACCCTCAAGAGGATTAGAAGCCATGGCACAGCAGGCTTAAAAAGCCTAGCATCTGTAACTAAAAAGACCCAGGAGCTGTAGATCAATGCCATTAAGAAGTCTAGGAGCTGAAACTTAACCCCATTACTAAAAAAAATGTGTGATCAGCCACTTTACAATAAAATACCAATTGAAAATAGGTGTTCCTATTCTATAGCTAAATTCAGAAGGCTGGATACATCGTAGGGAAGTTACTGTAGCTGCCATACCACGACAACCAATAGACTGATATTAATGAAACTCAAGGAAGCTGTTTTATGGAAGATGTGCTAAAACTAGGTAGCCCACACCTAGCATGTTGGCCCAAGGTCAACATGTTAATTGCCATTTTTATAATGGTAATAATTTGGAAGGGCTACAGTATGCATGACAGGCTCTAGAATTCTAGCGTCATGATTAAAAGAAAATAACAAATAATGGACCATCAGATTAATGAAGTGGGAGCTTCTCTCTGGGTCTTGCATAAACAGAGACACGTTCAGTATTGCGTCAGATATCTCGGTGACAAGAAACACTTCGGTCTCGGACCTTCGGTTGAGCTGAATCAAGTGTACACTTCACTGTTTACTAGTTAATCAAAATGCACTTCGTAAATTTCATTAAGTAACCATCATTATGAATAAAAAATTCTTTACCTGGGATGGAGAGTTTAACATAAAATAAAGAATTTTTGCTCATATAAGATAATGTAAAATCTCTTTGTCTTCTGTTCCTACAGATTGTTTCTGTGGCTAAAATTATAACATTAGGCGGCATTAAGAAACACTGCAAAACAGTATTCCCAGTATGAGAATCTGATGAGCCTAAAACAGTCATAAAATACAAATGGATGTACAATGTAATTTTTGAAACTCTAAAATTGCAAACTTGTTTGTTAAAAAGATAAAATCTTTTAGAGATGGGGAATTTATAAAGCACTGAACGTTAAAAGTTTGAAAAGCAGGAAATTTGAAAGTGAGTCATTGTCTCATCGGACAGATGGATGAACACTAAGAGAACTTAAAGAACAAGTTTCTTTCAAAATGAAAGAAATAACGAAGTATCATAAATACTTTTCAGTTGCTTTGGACGAAAGTACAGACATCAGTGATGTAATTTCCCTTTTCGGGAATGAGCAACATAGCAAACACATAATCTCATCAAATTAAACAGAAAGATGAAGACTTCGCTCCCTCGCATTCCTGGCAGACATGACAACACACTTACATGTGCTCAACCTAAGTTTGTGATTTACGTGTTACCTTCTCGCACATCTCCATATCATTTATCAAGCATGTGGAAGTCTGTACCTGTGTGAGCTTGTCTGTGCCTGTGTGAGCTTGTCTGTGCCTGTGTGAGCCTGCCTGTACCTGTGTGAGCCTGTCTGCACCTGTGTGAGCTTGTCTGTGCCTGTGTGAGCCTGTATGTACTTTTGTGAGACTGTTTGTACCTGTGTGAGCCTGTCTGCAACTGTGTGAGCTTGTTTGCACCTGTGTGAGCTTGTTTGTGCCTGTGTGAGCCTGTATGTACTTTTGTGAGACTGTTTGTACCTGTGTGAACCTGCGTGCATATATCTGTACCTGTGTGAACCTGTTTGCGGATGCCGTTGTATACCTGTGTGTGTAGCGCTGTATGACCCTGGTAGGTTTAGCGCTTCCTTTTGATAATAATAATAATAATAATAATAATAATAATAATAATAATAATAATAATAATAATAATAATAATAATAATAATAATACCTGTGTGTACCAATGTGAGCCTGTGTATATCTGTGTGTACCTGTGTGAGCCTTGCTCTGCATAAGCTTGGGCACGATGAGGAAGTTGCAGATGGAAGCTTGATGCTGGCACTGCGGTGCCTCCCACTGTAGGCACACCCGGTACTGTTGGTCAAACCTGAGAGCCTCCTTGATGACGAAGCTGGTAACGGAGTCCCCAGGGCGGTGCCAACCAACCTCCTTACTGGCCACCTGTGAGGGAGACAAAGAAGGTGAGAGAGGACGTGCGCACTGGTATAAAACCCGACTCACACGATGAATCTGTTTAGGACTAATTCACAACTCTGAGAACTTTCTTCGTCAGAGCTGAGATTTTCTTTAGAGCTCTGAAAACTCTTTTTTCAGAACTCTGAGAAGTATTTGCAAAACTCTCTGAGCAACAGACCAAACAATTTCCAGCTTCAGTTTCCATGTTAAGAAAGAGTTCTTCCTGGCTCACCACAACTTGAAGCGCTTCTCTCTAGATTTAATTGTGACTTGTAGGCACTTCTCTGGTCCCTTCAGGAAGGTGTCATATACTGGAAAGGGGTGAAATTGACCGGCTTTGGTCAACGTGTCACACATGTGTTTGCGCAGTGGTGTGACCTGCTCTCAGTCTCAGACCAAAATACACAATTTAAGTTCTTGTCGACAACGAAATGAATTCATTTCCAAAGGACAGATAGTCAGAAATGTCTGTCAGTGAAAGACAGGAATAGACAGGTACCGCCACAAAGCCACTAATATACTATGCTGAAATGTCAGTCAACACTTTCATTAGCAAGTCTCCTTCTAAAGCTGCCAGTGAACCAGGAACCAGCTAAACTAATGAATATCTTAAAGGCATACCTAACTCCAAAACAAACCCCTACTCAAAGCTGTTTGTCAATATGCAGATTTAAGGACTCTACCTCGCATGCAGAATCTGTTTCTGGTAACCCTGTGCTGTCAAGGTCACAACTATTTAAGCGCTCTGAGTTATGCAGTGACAGGTGTCTTGCGATTTTTTACTGATGAATAAACTGACAAAAATACATCTCCGCCTACACAAGCGGAGTTTAATAACCCACACAGCTTTAACAGTTCTTTATAAAGGTAATAATCTCTCCAAACATATAGCTCAGGAGAAGGGACTCACCTGTGAAGAGTAGGTAATAGCACTCCAGGTGAGGGAGAGATTGGGGTGGTGAGAAGGAACCATCCAGTTGACCTCAATCACGGGGCCAGATTTTGCCTCTGCCTTGATGACTCTCAGCTGTAACATAGTACCTGCAGGAACACCACACACTAGGTCACGTATTGTACACCGTCACATCATGCACGGTATACCGAAGACAAGGTCGCACAAACACACACACACACACACATAGCGTTCCGATACCTGAGTAAGGAATCGTTCAAGACACTGTACACCGTGTACGTCAGGCCCATACTGGAGTATGCAGCACCTGTTTGGAATCCGCACATGATCAAGCACATCAAGAAATTAGAGAAAGTGCAAAGGTTTGCGACAAGGTTAGTTCCAGAGCTAAGGGGAATGTCCTACGAAGAAATGTTAAGGGAAATCGGATTGACGACACTGGAGGATAGGAAGGTTAGAGGAGACTTGATAACGACATACAAAATACTGCGTGGAATAGACTAGGTGGACAGAGACAGAATGTTCCAGAGAGGGGACACAGAAACAAGGGGTCACAATTGGAGTTGAAGACTCAGATGAGTTAAACGGATGTTAGGAAGTATTTCTTCTGTTATAGAGTAGTCAGGAAGTGGAATAGTCTAGGAAGTGAGATTGTGAAGGCAGGAACCATACATAGGTTTAAGATGAGGTATGATAAAGCTCATGGAGCAGGGAGAGAAAGGACCTAGTAGCGTTCAATGAAGAGGCGGGGGCAGGAGCTGAGTTTCGACCCCTGCAACCATAATTAGGTGAGTACAATTAGGTGAGTACAATTAGGTGAGTACAATTAGGTGAGTACAATTAGGTGAGTACACACACACACACACACACACACACACACACACACACACACACCACACACACACACACACACACACACACACACAGGACGAAAGGAAGACAATGAAAGAGAGAGTTCAAAAACGAAAGGAGAAATGAAGATTAGGCGAAGGGCAAAGAAGATCGCAGACGGAGTACAGTCTAGGGGGCCAGAGACTACAAACCTCACTCTAGGAAAAAGATCTTGGGGTGAGTATAACACCAGGCACATCTCCTGAGGCGAACATCAACCAAATAACTGCTGCAGCATATGGGCGCCTAGCAAACCTAAGAGCAACATTCCGACATCTTAATAAGGAGTCGTTCAGGACGCTGCACACTGTGTACGTTCGGCCAATATTGGAGTTTGGAACCTACACTTAGTTAAGCACGTAGAGAAACTAGAGGAAGTGCAAAGGTTTGCAACAAGACTAGTCCCAGAGCTAAGAGGTATGTCCTACAAAAAGAGGTTAAGGAAAATCGAACTGACGACACTGGAGGACAGGAGAGATAGGGGGGATATGACAATGGCATATAAAATACTGAGAGGAATCGACAAGGTGGACAGAGGCAGGATGTTCCAGAGATGGGACACAGCAACAAGGGGTCGCAGTTCAAGGTTGAAGACTCAGATGAATCACAGGAATGTTAGAAAGTACTTCTTCAGCCACAGAGTTATCAGGAAGTGGAATAGTCTGGGAAGTGATGTAGTGGAGGCAGGATCCATACATAGCTTTAAGAAGAGGTATGATAAAACTCATGGAGCAGGAAGAGTGACTTAGTAGCGACCAGTGAAGAGACGCGGCCAGGAGCTGTGAATCGACCCCTGCAAACACAACTAGGTGAGTGCAACTAGGTGATTACCCACAAAGAACCCAGGACAAAAGATGAGCCGAAGAGCCAGAAATAAATATGCATGGATAAAGAAGGAGGCCCAGCGGCAATACGAGAATGACACAGCATTGAAAAACAAATCTGACCCAAAGCTGTTATACAGAAACATCAAAAGGAAAACAACAATCAAGGACCAGGTACTCAGGCGGAGGAAGGAAGAACAGGGCATCTCACAAGAAACAACAAAGTATGCGAAGAGCTAAACACGAGATTTAAGGAAGTATTTCCAGCGGAGACAGACTGGACTACAATAGACCGGGAGGGTAGAATGCAACAATAAATGCTGGACACACTACGCAACCGAGTGTGACAACGACTGATTTACGTGACGAGATGTCAGAATGGGCGCCTGTGACAAACGGGGTTCCACATGGGTCAGTCCTAGGGCTGGTGCTGTTTCTAGTATATGTTAATGACATGACGGAAGGGATAGATTCAGAGGTGTCCCTGTTGGCAGACGACGTGAAGCTAATTTGGAGAATTCAAGTGGATGAGGATCTTGTAGCACTACAAAGGGATCTGGACAAGCTTCAAGCCTGATCTAACAACTGGTAAAGTCATGAAGATTGGGAAAGTTAAAGAAGGCCGCAGACAGAGCACAAACTAGGGGCAAAAGATCTTGGAATGAGTATAATGCCGAGCAAATCTCCTGAGGCACACGTCAACCAAATAATAGCTGCAGCATATGGGCGCCTAGCAAACCTAAGAATAGCATTTTGACACCTGAATAAGGAATCATTCAAGACTCTGTACACCGTGTACGTTAGGCCCATATTGGATTATTTCAGCACCAGTATGGAACCCACACCTGGTCAAGCACGTCAAGAAATTAGAGAAAATGCAAAGGTTTGCAACAAGACTGCTCCAGGAACTAAGGGTTGGTTAATGTGTTCCTCGGGAAATATGTTTGATGTAGTGTTTACTCCCATATCCTTTTCTTCTGGTGAAGAGACACAGAGATCAAAATGATATCTTTAATTACCACGTTGCCTACGTCACTCTGCAAGTTCATTTCCTTTATGTCTTAGGAGGAGAAGTTAAGGGAAATCGACCTAGTGGCACTTGGGGAATAGAGAGGACATGATAACGACGTGTGAAATTCTGAGAGGAATTGACAAGTTGGATAGGGACAGGATGTTTCAGAGATGGGACACAGTAACAATGGGTCACAACTGTAAGTTGAAAACTCAGATGAGTCACAGGGATGTTAGGAACTATTTATTTAGTGACAGAGTTGTCCAGAAGTGAAACAATCTGGAGAGTGGTGTAGTGGAGGCAGGATCCATACATAACTTTAAGAAGAGGTACGATAAAGCTCATGGAGCAGGGAGAGAGTGGACCTAGTAGCGACCGCCGAAGAGGCGGGGCAAAAATCTGTGACTCGACCCTTACAGCCACATACAGGTGAGTACACACACACACACACACACACACACACACACACACACACACACACACACACACACACACACACACACACACACACACACCGAATACACTCTTCCTCATTATTCTTCAAAACAAAAATAAAATAAACCAAGCACAAATTAGCAGTTAAACGTGAAGGATAGATGAATAAGAGAGGTGCTCAAGTGCAGTACATTTGGAGTCACCAATGAATAAGCAGAAGACTAGGAAAGAAAAGAATAAGAAAAATAAGTAACAGACAAATAAATAGGAAAAGAATGAGAATAAGTAGGAGAAGAATGAGAATAATTAGGAGACAAATAAGTAGAAGAATAAATAAGGAGAAGAATAAGTAGTAGATGAATAAGTAGAAAAAAACAGACTTCATAGCCATTTCCAAGATAAACTCAAAATAAAGGTAATAAATGTGATATTCTCTGATGGATACCGAATTGTAAGTATTTAAAATGAGAATAGATTTGTTACTGTAGACGCAAAATTACTGAGAAATTGAAGTACTGAGTAATCATGAGCACAGACGAGTCCAAAGACTGTGCACCATAGTAGACACAGTGACCGAAGAGACGAAAGTAATGTTGTGGTGGCATCTAGCTACTCTAAACAACAGGAGAGTGAGAACCGCTATCAGGGAGTAGAACTGCAGAGAAGAAAAATAATGAAAATAACAACTAAGAAGCATCTGCATCAATATACGGAGGAAAGAAGATTGTGTCGGCAAGGCACCAGGACTCGACCTGATTTTCATCTTAAAGGAATGTAACACAAGAGAAATTGACTCTAGAGAACGACAAGGCACTAGCGATCATATGGTAATAAACTTTGAATAAACAAGGTAACAATGGCAACACAAGGTAAAATGTTGGTAAGATTAAACAAAGCAATGATAATAAAGACATGTAATAGGCAAATAAATGAAGAGAAATTAAAAGACATTTTGAAAAAAAAAGTAATTGCGTGAAAGGCTAAATTACAGCCACTTAAAAAATAAGATGACTGAATATGATCAAGTGGTACAGTTGAAGGCTGGAATATGATCAACTGATACAGCTGTAGGAGGTAAAAGTAGTACTCACAGAGATGTGTGAAAAGATCTTAGAACACTAGTATTTCTGTCGCTTCGTGATCCGAGAACGCATCCCCGTATTGTGTAGCCCCAACCCCATCTACCTCAATGAATACGACAGGAATATTACAGAGTTCGGCAAAATTTTCTCATGTAGTTAGGTATTAGCGTTTAAGATCTGAAGCGATTCAAATGAGGTATTCATAAGTTATCGTATTGTTACTAATATCCAAAGTTCTTCGTTAAAATTCCAAATGAAGACACGTACAGCCATAAACTCATTCAAACCTTCCACAAGGAAAGTTTTACCTGAGACCAGGTTGAATCACCTGTGATTGTTCCGAGAGTTTTACCGTAAACTGTGACCAAGTGATAGTTGAGACTAGAGATTCGAATCATCTTCAAGTGTGACCTTCAAGTTTGACTAAGTTTTACCTGTGATTCACCTGTGACCGCTTTAAGAGCTCTGCATTCAAATGTCACCTGCAGGAGGAAGTTTCAAGTGCGACCCTTGAGGAAGAGAAACTCTTTTATGGTGGTGGTGATAACCAAGTGAGCATCTTCATTTCCAGCAGATAAATCCCTCACCGGTAATATGTGACGAAGCATTCAGATTAGCAACAGGTTGGCTGCCGTTGTCGAGAGCTCGCTATTGTTAAATACCAAGCCTCCACAGGCAAACCAGTAGGCAAACGAAAAAGTCCAAGAACTGGACCTTCTCTGGATGGGAGGCTCACTCAAAGAGAAAACTGGTATCAGGAAGTATGTGCTCCAAAACATTGTGGTCGTTAGTCAAGGACCGATAATTGTTCCACTTCTAAATCGACATGATGGGACTGTATTATCAATCAAGAAAAGTTGACCTCTGTGCTGAGCACTGTGCTG